AGATTTCTGGAATCGGTTCCTAGGCCTTTAATATCAGCATTGGTTGCAAACCAGCAGAGATGGGTGAAAGGAAAATGCACTGGGTTTAATTGAGTAGGTTTCTCCTATTCATTCGCTGCTTTCTTGCTCTCTGTAAGGCACACGACACTAAGCATGTCGGTCTTGGAGACTTTGGGCCCAATTCTTTAGTACCCTGCACCTTTGTATGGCACTTACCCCCACACCAAGTGCTACAAAGTGCTAGCTGCTCAGAAATGAAGCGTCTGACATTAGAGCTCCTGGGATGTTTCTGAGTGGAGTGTTTTTCCATCGGAAAATGCTGTTTCATCCAGAGCAAAAGGTGTCTCAGAAATGCATCAGTTTTGATCATTTCAGAAACAAAAGGGCTGTGTCTACACTGGGCCACTTATTCCGGAAAAGCAGCTGCTTTTCCGGAATAAGTGGCCCAGTGTAGACACAGCCCTTTTGTTTCTGAAATGATCAAAACTGATGCATTTCTGAGACACCTTTTGCTCTGGATGAAACAGCATTTTCCGATGGAAAAACACTCCACTCAGAAACATCCCAGGAGCTCTAATGTCAGACGCTTCATTTCTGAGCAGCTAGCACTTTGTAGCACTTGGTGTGGGGGTAAGTGCCATACAAAGGTGCAGGGTACTAAAGAATTGGGCCCAAAGTCTCCAAGACCGACATGCTTAGTGTCGTGTGCCTTACAGAGAGCAAGAAAGCAGCGAATGAATAGGAGAAACAACCCGATCGTGAAAATGATGATCGGGGCTTTTTTTCAGAAAAGCACATCTACATTGGCCACGGACGCTTTTCCGGAAAAGAGGCTTTTCCGGAAAAGCATCCTGCCAATGTAGATGCTCTTTTTCTGGAAATACTTATAACGGAAAACTGTTCTGTTTTAAGCATTTCCGGAAAAGGGTGCCAGTGTAGACGTAGCCAAGCAGAATGGCACCAGCCCCTAACTTCGCAATGGGCCGCGTCACACTTTCTAGAACTGATTGTCCCAATGGGATGATCTAGACAGGGCTTAGCCGTGCCATGAGGGCAGGGGACTGGTCTTGATGTCCTCTCGAGGTCCCTTCCGGTTCTAGTGTTCTGTGAGTCTGTGTTCCATTACAAAATCATTGTTCAACGTGTCGGTAACATTTTGAAAAAAGCTGAACTCAGTGACATGTTGGGATCAGCCCAAAATGTCTTCCCGCCACCTCTTTCCCATCCCCCGGCTGAATTTTGTTTCATGGGAATGTTTTGACTTGTTTTGGTTTTGTTCTGGAATGGGGAGGGGGAATAAAAAATGGCAGGAGTTTTCATGGAACAGAACGTACTTCCCGCCCAGGGCTCCCGTATGCTGAGTTGGTACTGGGGTAAATAACGGACCATGGTGCGGGGGATAAGAAGCAGTGGCCCCTTTGTTTTAGAAGCCCCCTCAGTTTTCAGTACCCCAAGCAAGAAGGCAGGCGTTTCAGACAAGGCACGCCCATGGTTTAGCACTTCCACTTTCCGTGTATAGTGAACTTTAAACAGGGCAAAGGCGGTTGAGGAACAGCAGCTAGAAAGAGCGTTTTGTTCCAGCTTGTATGGATTTCAAGCATCCTCGGGAATGTGTACTTTAAAAAAAATTGATTTGATGTAAAGTTTCATTATAAATACTTCTCCCAGGGTTTCCCTGGCATCTTGGCTTTGGGCACAAAACCATACAGCCCGGTGGAAGAAAGTTGACATTCTTCCCCTCCCGTTTAAAAGTGGCAGCTGAAAGTCAGCAGCCTGGCTATTTTTGGACGGTGAAATAGCTGTGCTTTCGATGCCGAATTTACATTTTCCCTCGCTGTTTAGTACCACAGCTTGCCTCGTTTCCTCCTACGTGTCACACACGCCGCTAGCGCGTGGGAAAGCTTTGAGTCACTGCAAAGAACCAGCTCGCATGCAGCATCACCTCTGCCCTCTAGTGGATGGAATCAGAACTGCGCCACTGTGCATCATAGACCCTATACTGGTAGCAGCTAAAGGAAATTCATTCGGTGCTCAAACGGGAGAGGCCGGGAGCAGCGCCTCTGTGGTCTAGCACCCTGAAATTCCAAACAACAGCCTGATGCAGCCTGGTGGCATCTATGAAGTCCTAGGTAGCCCTAGATGTGTTACAATCAGTCTCGGGAGAGATACATTCCTCCCTCCCTCGCCACACTGTGCTTCACACACAGCAGCTGTACTTGAGCAGGGCTACCATGAAGGTCAAGCACAAACCCTCCTCTTCAGTCTCTGACATCCCTCTGGCCCGGTTGCCTTTTGGGCTAACATGGCTCATACTTAGAATCATAGAATCATAGAATAATAGGACTGGAAGGGACCTCAAGAGGTCATCGAGTCCAGCCCCCCGCCCTCAAGGCAGGACCAAGCTCCGTCTACACCATCCCTGACAGATGTCTATCTAACCTGTTCTTAAATATCTCCAGAGAGGGAGATTCCACCACCTCCCTTGGCAATTTATTCCAATATTTGACCACCCTGACAGTTAGGAATTTTTTCCTAATGTCTAATCTAAACCTCCCTTGCTGCAATTTAAGCCCATTACTCCTTGTCCTGTCCTCAGTAACCAAGAGGAACAAATTTTCTCCTTCCTCCTTGTGACACCCTTTTAGATATTTGAAAACCGCTATCATGTCCCCCCTTAATCTTCTTTTTTCCAAACTAAACAAGCCCAGTTCATGAAGCCTGGCTTCATAGGTCATGTTCTCTAAACCTTTAATCATTCTTGTCGCTCTTCTCTGTACCCTTTCCAATTTCTCCACATCTTTCTTGAAATGTGGCACCCAGAACTGGACACAGTACTCCAGCTGAGGCCTAACTAGTGCAGAGTAGAGCGGCAGAATGACTTCACGAGTTTTGCTTACAACACACCTGTTGATACAACCTAGAATCATATTTGCTTTTTTTGCAACAGCATCACACTGTTGACTCATATTCAACTTGTGGTCCACTATGACCCCTAGATCCCTTTCCGCCATGCTCCTTCCTAGACACAGCCAGCCAATGGGCCTTGTTTTATATATGAGGACATTAAAAAAAAAAAAGCAGGTTTCCCGTGACTTATTCTCAGACACTTCTTTTGGGGGAAGAAAAACAATTTAGTGATTTTTTTAACCCCTTCCCCTGAGGGTGACTCATTCCGAGTTGCCCCTTATTCCCCGGCCCTCATGGGTAGATAGGTGTCTAGCCCCCACTGAAATCAATGGGAGCGAGGCAGCTGCGGTCAGGTTCATTCGAGGTGCTGGGCAGGTCAAAGCTAGGCCCGCAGTCAGGAAACAGCATTTACCTCCTTCAGGCTGGGTGCCGCTTGCACCAGACTCACTCAGCCCCCTGAGTAATAGGCAGAGCTAGCTGCTGCTTAGCGAGCGGGTTTCTAAGGCCTTAGCCCCCCACCCCACCCCCTCGGGGAGAAGCTACTCCTACAAGTAGCCCGAAAATATTTCAGTGGGGTGGATGCGATGATTAGCAGCATGATGCGGGGTAGCAAGAGACGGCTCTCAGGGCCCGGTTCCGATAGCTGTCCTCACACTCGGTAGCGGGGGGCTCCCTGGCTTGGGAAGGCCACTGGCCCATGGCGTGCAGCTCTCTGAGGAGACCAGGGTCGGGCCCTCAGAGTCCATATGCGAGGCACGTCCCATGTAGCAGCAATCCCAGTGGTGGGAGCCCAAGCAAAATGGAACCCCAAGGCAAAAGTGGCGTTGGCTGGGGGTGGCTCTGTTTGGTGGTAGGCCGGATTGACGGTCGGCGGAAAGACGTTTCCTCGCCATCTTTGGAGGCTCTGCTCAGTCAGTTCCCTGCATTCTGGGCAGCTCCTGCCTGTGGCGGGGGGTAGTGGAACTCTCCAGCGCCTCTGCCCCCCCCTTTCATCAGTGAACCCGTTACACATCGGCTACGTCTAGACTGGCATGATTTTCCACAAATGCTTTTAACGGAAAAGTTTTTCCGTTAAAAGCATTTGCGGAAAAGAGCGTCCAGATTGGCACGGACGCTTTTCCGCAAAAGCATTTTTTGCGGAAAAGCGTCCGTGCCAATCTAGACGCGCTTTTGCGCAAGAAAGCCCCGATCACCATTTTCACCATCTGGGCTTTTTTGCACAAAACAGTTTTCAGCTGTCTACACTGGCCCTCTTGTGCAAAAGCATTTCCAGAAAAGGGCTTTTGCCTGAACGGGAACGTCAAAGCATTTGCGCAAGAAGCACTGGTTTCGGATAGTAGAACGTCAGTGCTTTTGCGCAAAATCAAGCGGCCAGTGTAGACAGCTGGCAAGTTTTTCCACAAAAGCGCTTGCTTTTGCGGAAAAACTTGCCAGTCTAGACGCAGCCCTCGACGCTGACAAAAACATGTTTTATGCATATTCAATAGGGGGTGTTTCTAATGCTGAAGTGTTCTTTTCTTATTGGTCAATATAGCATTGCTCTTAACTTATTATCATATACGTCAATTCATTGCCATGGGCCTTTGTGGTTATCTATTGCAACCTGTGTCCTAATTGCTCAACTCAGCCTGAACCAATTATTTGAGATTTATATTTAATAATACATCTGCTGAGTCTGAGGGTATTGTTCCCGCCATCCTGTGTGGGTGAAAGGTCCAGGCCTAAGTTCCCCTTTTTCAGGCCCAGGAAACCATAAATAAGTTATGACCAGTATCTGGGTGAGACTGTGTCCCAACCACGGAAGTCTGCTAACCTCAGCTCCTGCTGATCTTGTCAACGGCCTGTTGCAGCATGGACAAAAGATAAAATATAACCCCATGTTACTCGACTTGACTGTGAGCTTATGTATGTTCTCCCATTCATGTGCAAGCCTGTCTTTTAATTGGCTGTAATGCAGACATGGCACTCACTGGAAAGGGCATTCAGAAGCTGTACCATCTTGTTATACTCTAGAGCAGGAACCACTGTTTGTGGGAAAAATCCACCCAGCCAGTGTAGACAGCTGGCAAGTTTTTCCGCAAAAGCAACTGCTTTTGCGGAAAACCTTGCCAGTCTAGACGCAGCCATCATGTTTAACCAGTTAACCAATTAAACGGGATTTTACAACCCGAACGCAGACTCCAGCTAATAGGGGCACTGGGAGAGGCGAGGGTCTCTCTTGTTTGCATGCACGTTTCGTAATAAAGCACAAGAGGCGTGAGCTCAGGTCCTACTGCTCCTTCCCGGTTCTCTGGCATGTCCTCGCACAGGCCCGGCCAGAGCTGTTGCACGATGCCTGCTCACACCAAGACACAGCCAGCGTGGCTTCCGACATGTCCGAGCTCAGCCCAGGCACATCCACCCTGCCCAGGAAGAAGCAACGGCAACCTGGCTCGGCAAGGCCCTGCCAGATTTGGTCTCCGCACCGTGAGTCACAAGAGCAGTGTAGACAGGGTAGGCTGACACCCTGAAAACATACCCAGGGATTCTGGTAGCTAGCTTCGGCCACAGCGTATTAAGGGGGCGACTGCCGCATCCCCAGAAATCCCAGACATTCTAGTACTTCTGGGAACACTGTGGGGCTGACCCCAGCTGTGTGACCCTGCCCCCCTGGGTGTGTCCGCATGGGATGCCACGTTGAAAAGACCCCAGCTGAGGTGCCAGAACAGGCGGGGCCCTGTCCCTCCCTCTCCACGTCCTTCCCCAGGCTCCGCCCCCTGGCCAGGTTGGCAGCTGGAGCCCAGGGAAGCGTACAGCTGTGCGGCTGCTCTCTGGTGGATGGAATCAGAGCTGCTCCACTGTGCATCATAGACCCTATACTGGCCAAAGAAAAGTCACTCAGACGGTAGAGGCCTGGGGCGGTGGCTCTGAGTCCTATCACCTGGGCAGCTGTGGGGAGCCACAAACCCTCCACTTGCCTGGGGGGTGGGAGCATGAACCAGGGACTGCTCTTGGGGTCTCCCACCCCAGGCAAGTGGCGGGATCTGGGCTTCAGGGGGGTGGGGGGATTTGGAGTAAGGTGGGGACCCTTAGGCCCTCCACTTTTGGGGAGGCTCCACAGCCCCTAACCCATAGGCTGGGGTGGAGGGGTGCACTCTTCAACATGGCATCCTCTGTGCATAGGACCGGACAAAGCCCGGTCTGGTTTTATACCAGAACTGGGGAGGTGCCCAGCCACAGAAAACCAGGACTGCCTGCCCTAAATCTGGAGAAATGGCCTGCCTGCAGCATCTTCCCTGCTACTGTTCCCCTGCTAGCTAGAGTCACAGCTCAGGTGTGCCCACACCTGAGTTTGCTGTGTAGACACACCCTTAGGAAGATAGAAGGCAAGTGTGTGTGTGGGGGCGGGGAGCAAACAGATTGTGAGTCTTGGAGGCATCATCAGGGGGCAGTGACTTAATTAGCATCGTCAACAACCACTTAAAAAGCAAAGGACAACACAGAGACCTAACCAAAACGACCGGTCATGGGCCTGATTGACAGGGACGGGGGAGGGAGGGGCGAGCATCAAACCAGATCAAAATCGAACACGCTAATGCTGGCAATTGGCGCGCGCCAGAAATTGAAGCTGTTGAACGGCAGGAGAGAGTCTTCGTCCTGCCCGAGCTGCGGCCAGTCTCCGGACCGCTTGCCCAAACCTCCTTTGGGTTTGTAGAGCGCCATGTCGGTCAAACCCAGCCCCTCCAGCTCCGTCAGGTCGAGCTCCGGGATTGGCATCCTCCAGTACAGGAAGGAGTCGAACTGGCTGTTCGCCGTGTCCAGCATCTCCAGCTAGAAGGAAGAGGGTAGGGAAGACTATCAGAGCCGCAGATCACCAGAATCCTAGCTGCTCTGGCTCATGCATGATCTAAATCGCCCGTTTCGTGAGGGAGCTTTGTCTAGGTCCCATTTGTGAACAGGCCCCTTGAGAGAAAACTGGGCCTTTGGTACCTCATGAGTGTGGGCCATGCCTCATCTCTTTCACCACCATTACAGGCCCTTTGACGTTCCCCATCGAGGTTCCCAACTGTCTCCTCCCCCAGCTGTGCAATAGCATTGCTTGTGGGCGAGTGGCTAAGGCTGCGGATGAGGGCTCAGGCACGCTGGGTCTCATCCTGGCTCCATCACCGTGACCCGTAACATAAGAATGAGGGGGTCACCAAATGAAATTAATAGGGAGCAGGTTTCAAACAAACAGAAGGAAGTGTTCCTTCATGCAGCGCACAACCTGTGGAACTCCTTGCCAGAGGATGTTGTGAAGACCAGGACTTTAACAGGATTCAAAAAAGAGCTAGATACATTCATGGAGGTTAGGTGCATCAATACATATTAGCTAGGATGAGCAGGGATGGTGACCCTGGCCTTTGTTTGTCCGAGGCTGGGAATGGGTGACAGAAGAGGGATCACTTGATAATTCCCTGATCTGTTCACTCCCTCTGCGGCATCTGACATTGGCCACTATCAGCAGACAGGATACTGGGCTAGATGGACCTTTGGGCTGACCCAGTACAGCCATTCTTATGTTCTCTGTGATCTTGTGTGGCCTGGTACTTCAGAACCTTGAAGGCTCTAGACCTCGGCTCCCCGTCTGAAAATTGGCACTAATGCTCCTTCCTCTGTTGGCCTAGGTAGAGGCCTAGGTCTTCCGGGCTGGGATTGCCTCGTGCGCTGGGCTTGGACAGCACAAAGGGGCCTCCAGGTGGTACCGCCACACACCTGAGAATGAGATTATGGGACGGGGACGTCCCTGAAATCTTGGAACACGTCAGAGGCCCTGAGTCCTCCAAGCCCTTCCCGCTGCCAAGGGCTGTTTGGACAGCCACCTTCTACCCCCGCTGCCTAGCATCACTCCCCGACAAGCATTTCATCCTGTTGTGACAAGCGATGAAAAGCTGTGCGTTGAGGCAGTGCGGCCTAGTGGCTAGTGCACTAGGGATGGAGCTCTGCCACTGGTCTCCTGGCGACCTCAGGCAAGTCACCTACCCGTTCTGTGCCTCAATTTCCCCATCTGTAAAATGGGGGCGGTGACACTGGCCTCCATTGTAAAGTGCTAGGTCAGAGCTAGGGCCGGGAACTTCAACAGTCGTTATGCCCAGCTCTTGATTGGCTTCTCAGAAGCATTTCCCTTGGGTAAGTAGCTACCTTCTCGGGAGGAGCCGCCCAACTGCTTGCAGGGTAGGGAATTAATCCCGAAGGGGCTGGGAAATAATATCCCCGGGGGATTGTTTCGAGGGTGGAGGAGAGAATTTGTGGCCAAACAGGACTGAGAACAGAACTAGGGGCAGGCAATGGGAATAAAACAGGGATTGACGTCGAATTCGGGTGAGTAGGATTCACAGCACATTCTTGCTAGCCTGTGACTGTAACTCTGCGTGTAAACTCTGTGTGTGTGTGTGTGTGTGAGAGAGAGAGAGAGAGAGAGAGAGAGAGTGTTGCCAAGTGGGTAGTGCCCTGGACTGGAACTCTGAAGACTTGGGCTTTATTCCTTCCTTGGCTGCTGGCCTGCTGGGTATTTCACATCACAGCTCTGTGCCTCAGTTTCCCCATCTTTACCAGGGAGTGGGGGGGGGGAGGGGAATGACTCATTTCCCAAAACGTGTCTTGACCTCCTTTTCGAAGCACTTGGAGCTCTTCTGATGAGGAGCGTGCAAGAGGCATTACTATTGTGCATGCGTATACTTGTGTGGCCATACATGTCAATCTGTGGTGTGTGTGTGTGTGTGTGTGTGTGTGCGCGCGTGCACACCCACACCACACACCTGCCATTAAAAAGAAAG